TCTAAACAGTTAATTCTAATATTGATTTCAAGTAATATTAACAATATAACTGTTCTTGACTATGCCACAAAAAGAAAACAAATGACACAGATTATTCATGAAGTTGGATAAGACTTTTCTAGATGTTAATCATGTACATATAAACTTTCTCATAAAACCTCCCCCTGTGTATTCATTTACACTTTCAAATCTAATTATAACCCATTGTCATTTTAAAGATCAAGCCCCAACTGTTTCATGGTGTGCTTTCTTTCTAATTAAGCATTTGAGACCAAAGGGACTCAGGCTAGGGCTACAGCATCTCAATTTTCACAAACTGACATTCACAGTGAAAATATTCTCAATTATTTCCCTAACAGCTTTGATGTGAAGGCAAAAAAAACCACTGAGCTGTGTACATTCCCCTCTCATACTCTAGGGTCAACAATCATAGTTCATAGCTGCTGATCTTTGAAATCAGAGTTTTGGCTACATTGCTAGCAATAACCTAAATCAATATAGCATAAAAATACAAGCCAGTATGCAGTGAGTGATGAAAAATAGATTAGTAGAGATATCAACTGAAAATGATACAGAAGAGCCATATTATCTGGAGATAAAAATTATATCTTATAACATTCTTGGCCATGAATAGTTTTAACTATTGCACACAAAGCAAGCAAGCAGAAAATTATGAATAAAGATGATCATTGCTTTTGTTCTACTGTTACACCCTCTGCTAATAGATTACAACAGAATGACTGGAGGGTTAAGCATTGTGAGAAGATGGCCATAATTACTTGCTATGTTTGGTGACATCGTGACATTTTAATAAAACACAATACATGCATCATAGAAAAGAACTGGCCATCTTTTTGAATCTCAAGAGATCAACAAAAATGCCCTTGAATGACTGCGATGGGTGTTAAAACTACATATGAAAACACTTTGCAAATAATTCCTCAGGTAGCTTGTCTGAACTCTGAAAGGCTATCTCTCAAAATTCTCAATGAGGGAAAGAAAGTACTTCACACTTGTAATTATTTTCTCATTATAAATATACTTTCTGAAAAAAGTATAGTGAGAATGCTCACAGTATTTAGAAACTGATTTAAAAGCCAATTAACATTGACAACTAGCAAGATATTTTTTATGGAACATATTTATTTCATAAATCAGTATCAAATCCTAAAAAAAGAAGTCTTAAATGCCTAATAGTTCTCATAATAATATATGTGTGCAAATAAGAAAGTTTGTCAAAATTGCTAATATTAAACATGTTTCAATTACTGCCTTGTTTTAAACAAGAACCTTAGAAATTCCCAAAATACATTAAATGGACAGAATAGTACCATGATGAGAATTTAGGCCTTCGTGGGTTTCTCACACTCCACTTCTTGGAAACAAGTAAAATGTGAACTCTGTTTATTTATCCTAATTATTCCACGTCCACATGTTCACAAAGGACACCATTCTGTCAGGCATTTAACCCTCTCCACAAAGAGAACTCGGTATCGGTAGTTTCAAAAAGAATAAAACTACGCTAATGCAAATTACACTTGCAGTTTTGTTTTGTGAACTTTTGGAATGAGAAATCTCTGATTATTAGTAAGAAAAGATTAGCAATTTTTAATTTCCAAAATGATCAGTCATTTACTATTCACATCTCATGTGAACTACATAATATCAATGCTGTCACCAAAAGCAAGGCAGAAAAAAGAAGTCCTATCAGTTGTCATTCAGTGGGGGGAAATGTCTCTAAGGAGATTTTTTTTTTCTCCCTGAATGTGTCAGTTTTGCACAACATGTATTTTATAATTCTTCACTTATATTCAGCAACAATGGTCTCTCTGGCTTTCAGACAGTACCCAGTTTGTGATACTTCAAAGAGTTTTGTTGTTGCTATTTTATAGTTTAAAGTGGGTAGTTCTCACTTCATTCAAAAGAAACAAGATGCCTCAAAAAAGATGTGTTCAACCTCTAGAAATGGAAATTATTAATGGAGAAATAATAATAATACCTAATATTTGTGGGTGCAGAAGCTGTGCTAAGCCTATAAGTGCATCACCTGTTTAATTCTCAAAGCCCCCAAATGACCAAAAAATCTTGGTGACATTAAAAAATTTTTCCAGAGTCACATAAAACTAAATTTCTGAGGATCTGGCACATTTCATCAATACTGAAGAGGATAGAAATAACCATTTATTTATTCACTTCTTTAATTATTCAGCAAATGTGTCGCAGCACAGCAGTCCCTAACTTTTTTGGCACCAGGGACCAGTTTCATGGAAGACAATTTTTTCGTGGACTGGGGCGCAAGGGGGATGATTTTGGGATGATTCAAGAGCATTACATTTATTACGCACTTTATTTCTATTACTATTACATTGTAATATATAATGAAAATAATTATACAACTCACCATAATGCAGAATCAGTGGGAACCCTGAGCTTGTTTTCCTGCAACTAATGCTGCCACTGATCTGACAGGAGGTGATGTGAGCGATGGGGAGTGGATGAAGATGGGATATAGATGAAGCTTTGCTCACTTGCCTGCTGCTCACCTCTTGCTGTGTGGCCCAGTTCCTAAGAGGCCACAGACTGGTGCCGGTATGCAGTCTGGTGGTTGGGGACCACAGTCCTAGCAGACTACTAAATACCAGCTTGGAGTCAGATGTGGGAATACAAAATGGAATAAGTTTTGATTCCTGCCATCAAGCGTCTTATATTCCAGTTTGGAAAAAAGACCATTAAATAAACATAAAGTGTTAAAATATACTTATATCCCCAAGTAGTGAAACTGACACAGGAGCCCTGAGGATATGAAATTGAAACTATATTCTTCTAATTAATAATCATCTATAACATAACAGAGTAGAAAACATTTGGCAAGTATATCAAAAAAATAAAAATCAATCATAATATTTTTGAAAATTAGGTACTATAGTACTTACATTCTGAAAATATTCGTGCAATTGTGCTTATATTTCAGGTTGGTGTGGGTGCAGCCAAATTGCAACCATGCTAATTTAAGGGACCCAATTTGCATAAATGATTCAAAAGCTCAACTCTGAATAATAGCTATATCAAAAGATTGTTAGAGTTTCAAGGATCAAAACTGAGACTGACAAATACATACTCAGTAACTGAAATAAGCATACTCAGTATTTTAACTGAATGATCGGCATCCACCTTTCATCTACTGAAAAACCAGCATCAAATATTAAATGTTCAAAATTACCACTGGGAATGCAAAACTAAAAACTTCTTCCAAATAAATTTAAAATTTAAGCCTGGTAAATTTCTGCAGAAGAGCTTCAGAGTGTAGAAAAAAGGCCTTCTCTCTAAGTAAATACTTTAGATAAGTAATTTATCTTCTTTACAGAACAGACAACAGACCAAGAAAACTTCTCTCACACTGGTGGATGTGCTCTGAATGTCAACCCAGGCATCACATAGGTGCCAAAAGAGAAGTAAGGATTTTGTTGTCTATATGAAGACTTTGAGGTCTGTTTTACATAGGTGAACAGTTGTGCTACTTTTAGTCTCTCATCATTAATGCCATTAAACTTAACAGTACCTTAAATTCTGTGCTAATGAAAATTTGATAGAAACGTATGTTAAAATATTGTGTTTGCTTATATCCATGCAGTACAGTGTATTATAATTTCTTTTTGAAGTTGTCTTTCCTATAAGTTTCTTGAGAGTAAAAACTAGTTAGCACAATGACAAGTATGTAGTTGGTGCTCAAAACATATTTGTTGTATGAAATTAAATATATATTCCTACGTTCAAAGTACTTTGTACCTGTGACAATTCACATAAAAAAACCAGACAAATTGACAATTTCACATTCACATCTATTGGTGTGTTCAAAGCTATGGAACTTTTCTCTCATGTTTCCCAAGATGCAATAAATGGGTTTCCAAGACATTTTAACATATTTAAGAAAAGGAGCTTCTGAGTTAAAGGTCATTGCTTTCATGTTAACATTACTATTTTTCAAGACCTTATAGTCACAATAGACTTTATAAAGCTTGTCACTATCAAAGCTGAAAAGTATTTTGACTGCCACTTACCTTTTACTAAATAAATAACATTAACAGAAATGCTACTTATATTAGCAATAGAAAACAGGCTTCTAAAGTACTTATCAGATTCAGGGTTGTTGTCGCTGTTTCCTATTTCCTTACTCTTCCAAAACGATTCATTTAATACATTTATTTATAGTGTTCTAGAATCTTTCAGATACCAACTTATAGTGAACCCACTCAAAGTAAAAATTTAAATCTTCATCATTCAGCTTTTAACAGAATAACTAATATTTTTAAAACACTCAAGGTATTTATAGAAAGTATTTTTATATAGGTACTATATGCTGTTTTAATACATTAAGATAATATCATTATGAAACATTTACATCACTTCTGCTATAATAGTATTTTAATTGAAAATCATCTGTCTTGAAAGATAATTTGGGATATGTCAAAAGAGATAAAGTTCTGTAAGATGAAAGACTCTATTAGATATGTTCTAAAAGCAATGTTAAGATTTTAGTTTAATAAAATGAACATATTCAATATAAGTTTTATGTCATATGTTAATTTGGAGCTGCCTAATAAAATACTCACATCTGAATAAAATGGAAAATACCTAAGTTTAAAACATCCAGACTAAGCTAAGTTTACACTATTCTAAATAAAGAACCCAAATGATAGTGATACTAAATGTAGATAATTCTTTCCGCGTATGTTTATCATTGATGGGTAAAGAGGCAAAAAGTAAACCCTGAATGCTCGTAAAACAAAAAGCATATTCCTAATTGTCTAGGATCAATAATAATTATTTGAAATACGCTCTGTCGCTGTGGTTGCAACAGGCAAGAGAACATAAAATACATGAGAGTGAATTGAGTGAAACTCACATGGACCACCTTTGTTGTCTTGGGAATTAGGTCATTTATGAGTGTTAAAGATTTTTCTCACTACAGTTGAGGGTATTAATCAATGCTTCCTACTTACAGGAGTGTCTGCATCTTCAGCATAAACTGTTGTGATCGGTGTACCTTTGACTGCATCTGGAGCCACCATCCCTTTGTAGATTCGTTTACTGAAAACAGGAGGATAATCATTCATATCCTGTAAAACAATTAAGAGTTTAGTGCGTTAGTTGAAACCGGGTTAGGGACACAGTTACTAGAGTGACTCCCACTCTTCATATCACACAGTCCATTTGCCACTGTCAGTCTTCCATGCTCTCAATTCCATTGCTCTCACTTCAGACTGGCACCCTAGAGGAAATTATCAGAGTTCCTATACAATATTAATGTGCATGATCTCAACTGCATGGGAATAAACAGTCTGTCACCCTCAAAAATACACTTTGTAAAGACTGAGGTAACACTTGAAATTTTCCCTAATATACTCCTAATGGTATGATGTAAAATTTTAACCTTTGAACACAAGTAAGAACAAATTTCTTAAAAAGTGTCATCCTATGAGGAAGGAATAAAAGATGGTTTTAAAAACTTGTTTCATTGTTATTGCATTTTAAGAAAGCTCTTTATATGTTTCCATAGCAGCTACAAATTATTTTTTATACTTCACATAATGGTATTATTAGATCATTTTAAATGCAAACTGTGAAATACCCTTTGATGCTTACATTTTTTTTTTTACAAATGTAAAATGACAAAAGGATGTTTGCACACAATAATGGCATTTAAGATTAGATGTACTTATAGAGAGACAACAATGTTAGTTTACTTAAGAATTTTTTCAAAGACACTAATATATATCTTATTTTATTTTCACAATTTGGTGATGTATGTGCATTGTTACTCATGCAGTGTCACTCATTAAATAAATATTTATCAAATGCTTCCCATTTTTATGACCCAGTGCTAGGCGTTGGGGATACTGTAGTGACTCAAGAAAAAGATCTCCCTGTCTTTGAGTCATTTAGCTGCCATTTGATAGATAAAGATACTGATGTACAGATGGATTAGTGACTTGGTCTAAATTAATCTGCTTATTTGGCAGAGCCACTGTAATAAAGCCAGTCCACTGAAAACAAAAACCATCTTTTTTTGAACAAATTGCGTATTATTTTTGACACTTAATAATGAATATTAACATGGCTGATTTTTTAAAAATAATTGTTACACCCTCCAGTGTTTTGGGTACTTTGGGTCAAACATATTTGGGCTCAAAGCTAAATTTGTTAATTATCTACTCTTCCTCTCCAAGTCATCTTTTTCTCATTTGCCATTAAAAACCAAAGAAAAAATACTCTGCATAGTCTTTGATATTTATTCAGACATGACAATTTTCCAGTACAATGTAAGTTGGAAACACATAAATTAACTGATTGTAAACTTTTGTTTTTGCAAATAGGTCAGGATAATTATGTCTTACAATCAAACAGTGCTTCCTTTTATGTTCACAGTTGAGCTGACTTCTGAGTAGTGAATACGAATAAACCTGCACATTCTAATAAGAAATAGGAGGGCTTGAACTGTAAGCAAAACTGAAAAATAAAAGATATCACTTCCTCTGTTTTGACATACAGTATTCATGACCTTTCTATCAAAAAGATTTCCTTTATAAATTATGAACTTTAGAATCTGAATGAGTAAATGAATGTAGGAAGCACTGGTTCTCTGTAATGAGGGTTGTATCTGGTATTGATCTTGAGGTTCTAAGCAGGGGGTAAATATATTAACATAAAATACTTCCTGCACACTTTCTCATGCTCTTTTCAAGAGTGCCAATTAATTTAATGAGTGGATCTTGTAACTAAAGGAGTAGAAATTCTCTTGTACTCCTAAATTCTAACTCTGAAGCTTAGAAAAGAAGGACCCCAAGATTGCAATTTTTCCATAGACAAGTTTGCAAAGCTCAAATAAGCTCAATATGTTCCTATGAATTTTCCTTTCTTTCTCCCAAGGGAAAATTTAAAACCTTATCATCACAAAGTACTTTCTGAAAAATTTGATTCTTCAGAAACAAAAAATATATGTTTTTCCAATTATGCTAATACAGCTGGTTACAGCGTCGTGTACAGTGGTCTTCTTTTCTGGGAAACTATTCCCTAGCATCAGCTTCTAACTGATTGAACAATAGACGTTTTTATAATCTGGCCTCAAAACTGATTAAACATAAACCTAAGGCTGTAAATAACTAATGACTATGAAAAGATTTGTCCTCCTCCCCTTTTATTTTCTATTGACAGGGTGAAGACTGAATTAATAGAGTTATTATAACAGTATTTCTTTTTTATGACAAATTGTACATATTTTGGGGTTACAATCTTTTATTGTGGCTAAAACACGCAGCCAGTTGCATACAGTTGTTCCACAATACATTATTTCAAGAGAAGAAAATTTATTGAAATGCAATGCCAACAAGCATAATAAATAGTTCATTATATTTATGCTTCAGGGACATCGAAAAACAATGTACATAAATCTGCTTCTGTACAAATATTCTATTCTGCAATAAATTAAGGATGAGCTCAGCTCTCCAAAATCATGCCCTCTCCATTGCCTCTTATTCCACTAGAGGGTAGTATTGGCAAAAAGAAACATTGCCTCTTCTATCCACTAGTTAACAATTTTATTATTAAAACCCGTAACAGTTTGTTTCCTGTGGTTATAATTTTTGTTGGTCTAAACAAAAATTAGTTTTCATATTTCAAAAAAATATTATGAATGTTATCATGGTTCTCAACTAGAACAACACCATGCTTTTCTTTAAGGTTGCAGTTTGTTTCCACGTATCAAGCAAATAAAATTGTACCTGAAAATATAGGTAGCTAGCAAGAAGAAAATATGGGTTTTATTTATTTATTTCTTAAATTAAAACCTAAGATAATCACAAAAACCATTTCTACTTTGTTAGACTAAAAAGTAGATTTAAGAAATCTTTTTTTTTTTTTTAAGAAATCTTTTTAATGAGCAGATCGAGAAAGATAGGAAGTTACTGGTAAGTTTACAAATTAATGACAAGATGAAGTTCTGCAAAAACATAGAGTAGGTAATAAAACTTGTATTTTCTGGAATCACAGGTAAAAACTGTTCTGCCTTAGAACAGTTTTCTATTTAGAAGATAAATAGAAAGTACTAAGCAGTTACAGTTTGATCATCTATTACAAATGATGAAAATATAGCAAATGTCAGTCCTTATCATCCTGAGAGCATGTCTGCTCTATGAGGAGACATAGATGGTATAAGCCAGAGAGGGTGGAATGACTTCAGTTATTTCTGTAGTACTGTTTAGCGTTAGCATTATTCATGTTGAACTGTTTGACTGCCCAGTCCTTCATAAGCCCTTGAGCTTTACGGAGCTGATATCTACTCTTCCTTGGCAGACTGTACAGTTGACTCTTCTGCCTGTTACCAGTTCTGTTTTCTCTACCAGATACCTTGCATCTGCTGTCTCAGTTTCTGTTTCTCATATTGTTAGCCTTCTGCTGTTTTTTCCCTCTTTGTTTCTCCACTTGCCTTCCTCTCTTTTCTGACTTTTCTCCCTCCTCTTGTGCTTCAGCACATAGAGTCAAAAAGGACCACATCTCTGGCTAAACAAGTACTTTTGTTTTGCGTGGAGATTTCTTAAATATAAGTCATCAACTTTTCTTAACTTTTTCTTTTTAAATAAAAACCAGCACTGGAAGCTTCTTTCTTAGCTGCCTAAATTTGTTTTTATTTTTTATTTTCTTTTTATTTCTGAGTTTGGAGCTATTCTAGAGCCTTGGGGGTAGTATATCTCCAATGTAGACATAATGGAAGTTATGCCTTGTCACAAACAGCAAAGTGTGCCTAACCTCTCAGTCTCACACGTATCGATGGAGCTCCTACTGTGCATCAGACAGTACCTTAGATACTGGCGATGTGGTTACAACCAAGAAAGGCACGGTGCCTGCTGGTACTGAGCTTACACTTTAATGTGGAAAGCAAAAATTACAGAAATAATTTCAAGTATGATGAATATCATGAAAAAGGAAGTATAAGGACATGGTGGCAGTTTATAGAAAGAAATTTAACTAAATTTAACATGGGATGTGTGTCAGTTACCTGAGCAACTGACCCAATCACTCTCGCACTCTGACATGTTAAATAGTTCTCCAAAGCAGACAGCTAAATTAGAGGAGGACAACACTGTGCAATGCTGACACACATACTGATTTAATACAGAATTCCATTGCACAGGCGGTTTCCCTGTGTTGGACTGTTAATGTGGGAGAAAGGAGTTGATAAATTTTTGGTCTTTTTTCTGAGCTATGACACTACACCATTATGGTCAATTGGGAGAATATGTGCTCATTCCGAGCATAATCTTTGAGCAGATTCTATCTAATAATATCACCCTATTTCAGATTTTCCCAAAGTGACTATTAGTTGTGTGTGCGTTTTGTGTGTGGGGGAGTGGGGAGGTATTTTTACTGTATGTCAGGCATTGTGTTAAACACATTAAACGTACAATATCAATGTGCCTGAATACATGTTAGCTATTATTTTTATTATTTTTATTGTAAATATAAGGAAGCTGAGAGACATTAAGTAACTCATGTTTATCCAGATAATAAAATATAAAAATATGATTTAAGCCTGTTATGTCAGATCTTAAAAAGGCAGGGCTCTGATATCTGGAGAAGAAAGGGAACTGGAAAAATCATCAGATGATTCTACATAAAACAACTTGAGTAGTATTTTCGTTTAAAAAATCCACAGACAGCTTTGAAAGTATCTCTTTCCAAAGTGTTTTTACATTTTTAAAATATAGTCCATACTTTCTGTACTTTCATCTTGGAAAACTGAGGAACTTGATGAGCTTATAAATGTTGCATGGTATAACCTTTTCCCTGAAAATAATTTTTACAGTTACTTATAAAGCTTTTTTGGTAAAAATAGAAAGTTGTAAAAGTTGTATTTGCACACTTAAAACAACTTCCTAGTCAATATTTAACCCTACAAATAGTTATTTTCACTAAAATCTAAGCAAGATTTTTTCTAAATAGCATTCTTTGGAAAACTAGTCCTATTAGAGGCTTCATAAGCAAAAAAAAAAAAAAAAAAAAAAAAAAAAAAAAAAAAAAACCATAAACAAATATTATTAGGAAATGTAGAAAATTACATTTT